TTTAGGGTTTAGGGTTTAGGGTTTAGAAGAAAAGAGGGTTTAGGGTTTTGCTTTAAACTGCCTGACTCCTCCAAAGCGCAAAGCCCAGAGCTCCAGCGACCCCCGTCTGAAAGCCACGCCTTAGGCTCTAGGGTTTAGGGTTTAGGGTTTAGGGTTTAGGAGTGGGGGTTTAGGGGCAGGGAATGGGGACTGAAGAACTTTCGAAAAAGATGGGATTGATTCTGCAAGCTTTAGAAAGAGAACGACAAAGTGAGGGTTTAGGGTTTAGGGTTTAGGGTTTAGGGGGTGGGTGTGGGGGTTTAGGGGCAGGTAGAATCTAAAACACAAATACAGAAATTAATTAATTAATTAATTAATTAGTTTATTTATTTTTTTATTTATTTATCTATTTATTCATTTATTTGTTTTTATTTTTATTTTTATTTTTTTTTGAAGTGGCTGCCGACGGCGACAGAGAAGAAAAATCTGCTTTGGCCCTAATGCAGCAGCGCATGCTGGAGGAGCAGCAAATCCTTCTCAAAAGGTAAACCCTAAACCCTAAACCCTAAACCCTAAACCCTAAACCCTAAACCCTAGAGCCTAAGGCGTGGCTTTCAGACGGGGGTCGCTGGAGCTCTGGGCTTTGCGCTTTGGAGGAGTCAGGCAGTTTAAAGCAAAACCCTAAACCCTCTTTTCTTCTAAACCCTAAACCCTAAACCCTAAACCCTAAGTATGAGCTGCGGAAGCTGCTCTACGCTGAAAGAGGCACACAAAGTAAAACGCAAGCAGCAGCAGCAGCAGCGGCAGCAGCAGCAGAGGCAGCAGCAGCAGCAGCAGCAGCAGCAGCGGCAGCAACAGCAGCAGCAGCAGCTGCAGCAGCTGCAGCAGCGGCAGCAGCAACAGAGGCAGCAGCAGCAGAGGCAGCAGCAGCAGCAGCGGCAGCAGCAGCAGCAGCGGCAGCAGCAGCAGCAGCACCTTCTTCTGCTGCTGCTTTGTGTCTGCAGGTTACTGGAGGGCCTCAACAAGATGGACGAAAGAATGTTAGGAAGAGGCGACAGCGTGAGCACCAGCTAGCTAGCTAGCTAGCTAGCTCGCTAGCTAGTTAGCTAGCTAGTTAGCTAGCTAGCTAGTTAGCTAGCTAGTTGAGCTAACTCAGTTAGCTACACACCTGGCTAGCTAGCTAGCTAGCTAGCCAGCTAGCTAGGTAGATCAGCTGGCCTGCCAAGTAGCTAGCTGTTGCGTAGCTAGCTAGCTAGCTAGGCCAGATAGCTAAGTGCGATTGCTGTCTGGCGGCTAGCTAGCTAGCTAGCCAGCTAGCTAGCTGGCTAGCTGGCGAAGCCGCTAGGCACTCGCCCAATTATGCAGCCAGCAAACAGCGCAGCGAGATAGCTAGCTAGCTAGCTAGCTAGCTAGCCAGATGAAGCTCCAACTAGCTGGCTAGCCAGCTAGCCAGCTAAATAACTGAAGTCTGGGCCAGCTAGCTCGCCAGCTAGCCAGCCAGCCACCCAGCTAGTTAGCCAGCTAGCCAGCTAGCCAGCCAGCTACTTACCTATCTAGCCAGCCAGCCAGTCAGCCAGCCAGCTAGCTAGCTAGCTAGCCAGCTAGCTAGCTAGCTAGCTAGCTAGCTACTGCCTTTTTGGGTGTTTGTTTGCGCATGCAGTGGAGGGCCGACGGGGCCTTTTTTTACTCGGGTGAGCTTAAGAAGAAAAAAAGAAAATAAAAAATAATCAAAAATTAAAATAATAAATTAATTATAAATAATTAAAAATAATAAATAACAAACAAATAATAAATAATAAATAATAAACAAATAATAAATAATAAATTGCTTAAAATTAAAACATCCACTTTCAACGCCTCAAAACCTCAGCTTGGCCAAAACCACTGCACACCCTCCCCAAGGGTTTAGGGTTTAGGGTTTAGGGTTTAGGGTTTAGGGTTTAGGGTTTAGGGTTTGGGGTTTTCAGGCGCGGTGCTGCACGCTGTGCTGGAGTCCGACGATGAAGAGGCGGACTACAGAGAAAAGTATTTTTATTAACTTTTATTTATTTATTTCTTTTTATTTACTTATTCATTTATTTATTTTTATTTATTTATTTATTTATTTATTTATTTTTATTCTTGTCTTGCAATCTTCTTATTTGCGCCTTTCGCAGGATCATGGCGGTGAAAGAGGGCGCCCTTGTTTTCTTCCTGGACCCAAAGGCAAGGGTTTAGGGTTTAGGGTTTAGGGTTTAGGGTTTAGGGTTTGTCTTGTTCGTCGGTTCTCACTTCCCTTCCAACTCCTGCAAGACTCGGAGCAGGCGGCCTTCCGCGCTGCAAGTGGAGGCCCCAGGGCGCCGCGTTTAGCGCTTAGGGTTTAGGGTTTAGGGTTTAGGGTTTAGGGTTTAGGGTTTAGGGTTTGCGTCAGGACGAGGAGCCCACGACGGTGCTGCGGCCCCACAAAACCCTTTCTGTTTCTTTTTCTCCAAACGCTTTTTTAATTTCCATTTCTTATCTCCCTTTCCCTTCTCGCCACGAAGTCCACCTCGTCAAACTCATTTCCGAAGACGAACTCAACAGGTAGCTAGCTAGCTAGCTAGCTGAATCGCCAGCTAGCTAGCTGGGTAGCTAGCTGGATAGGCAGGTGGCTAGCTGTGTAGTCTATTTACTTGTTGGCTGTCCAGCTAGCTAGCTAGCTGAATTGCCAGCTAGCTAGCTGGGTAGCTAGCCGACACGTATGAATCTGTATATGTGGGGCTGCTGCTGCTGCTGCTGCTTCTGTCTCAACAGCCCCGCTGCTGCTGCTGCCTCTGCTGCTGCTGTTGCTGTTGCTGCTGCTGCTGTTGCTGCTATTGAGCAGCAGCAAGTTGTCTGTGGCATTTGCTGCTGCTGCGTTTGGCAGGTGGAACCACGCCTTGGCTTACGGGGGCTTTGTGCGCATGGCGTCTGCTGCTGCTGCTGCTGCTGCTGCTGCTG